CTCATTCTGTCACCCAGACTGGAGTGCAGTAGCCACTCCCGGCCACTGCAGCCTTGACTTGCTGGGGTCCAGCGATCCTTCTGCCTCAGCCTTCTGACTCAGCCTTCCAAGTAGCCAAAACTACAGGCGTGCGCTACCACGCCCGGCTAATTTTTTTGATTTATTGTAGAGATGAGGTCTCACCAAGTTGTCCAGACAGGTCTCGAACCCACGGGCTCAGGCAATCCACTCACCTCAGCCTCCCAAAGCACGGGATTATGGACTGAGCCACCGAGCCTGGCCAATCCCCATCACTTTTTACAGATCCACAAAATTCTATCCACAACTCTAAGGTTCAGATTAAAAAACCCCGCACTCTGAGGCCTTGTGACCACATTCCAGAGAGTCTCTGAGACTTTGGTGATGGTTTTCTTTTTTTCTTTTGGAGTCTCATTCTGTCACCCAGGCTGCAGTGCAGTGGCATATTCAGGGCTATCGCAGCCTACCACTTCAGCCTTCCAGCTACTGCTGGAACCACAGGCTCCACCTTGCCCAGCTAATTTTTTGATTTATTGTAGAGATGAGGTCTTGCCAAGTTGCTCAGGCTGGTCTTGAATCTGAGCTCAGGCAATTCTCTTGCCGCCACCTTCCAAAGTGCTGGGGTTACAGGCATAAGCCACCACACCCAGCCTTTTCTTTTCTTTTTGAGTCGGAGTCTCACTTTGCTGCCCAGACTGGAGTGCAGTGGCATGCTCACGGCCCCTGCAGCCGCAACTTCCTGGGCTCAAGCGGTCCTTTTGCCTCAGCCTTCAAAGCAGCTGGAACTAAAAGCACGTCACCCTGACCAGCTGATTGTTTCTGAAAGATAGGAGCCCCAAGAATCTAAGAACTTGGTAAATAAACCTAGCAGTAGTGCAACCATTGTATCTCAGCACTAGCCCTGTCGTGTATTGCTGAGCCTTTCTGCCGACCAGCCTATTATTTTACCTCTTAATCATTAGCAAGAAGCAAAACCGGCCTCCAGAATTAGGACTTGGTATTTCTAGTCCCTTAATTGCTCTTCTAGACATCTATGTTTCTGGAAATGATGTATTGCTATCAGTCTTCCATAACCAGCCTCCAGTCCACTACCTGAAGTCATGAGATACTGGTGGCTGGGGATGTCTAGAAACAAGACCTTTGTGACTTCCTTATTGTCTACATCAAAGAATACAACCTCCCGACTTTCCCTTAGCCAAAAGAGGCATAAATATATCCAGCCTCTCAGCCTTCGAGGGCACACTCGCCTGAGTGCCGTCCCCCTTTCCATCTGTGAGAGGTGAATAATAAACTTTACTTCCTTCTTTGTTGCAATCTTGCATCATTCCCACAACACCGGCTCACCTTGCCTCCATTTACCCTTTCGGTTTTGATTTATTGTAGAGAAAAGGTCCTGTCAAGTTGCCCAGGCTGGTCTCGAACCTCATGCAACTTTTTTCACCTCTACTTCCCAAATTGCTAGGATTACAGGAGTGAGCCACCATGCCTGGCTGGTGAAGGTTTTTAAAGCAGCCAAATCTGCCCTTCCTAAGCCAGGCAGCACTGGAAAGAGCTGCTGAGGGAGGGGGCAGGGGACCCAGTGTGGTCTCAGGGCTTCTGCAGCAGGATCCAGAGTGCAGACTCCTAGGGCCCAGCCTAGATCGACTAATTCCAACACCCATTGCTAGTCCTGGGGATCTGCAACTTTTTTTTGAGTCACAGTCTCACTTTGTCACCCAGGCTGGAGTGCAGTGGCACACTCACGGCCACCACAGCCTTGACCTGCTGGGCTCAGGTGATCCTTCCATCTCAGCCTTCCAAGTAGCCTGCTTCAATTCTTCAAGGTGCAGGGATCTGGTTCCTTCCCACCTTCCCACCTCCAGTAGCCTCTAGTCTAGGGGGGCCAGTAACCTGGATGAAGGGAGCAGATACACAGCAACAGGAAAGAGAGTCCATAAATGGCTCTGAATAGAGAAAAGTGAAAGGCAATAAGCAGAGCCTGGGAGGAGGAAGAGTAAGGGGATCTGGTACCACCCACACAAATCCATGGCTGACAATGGTGAGTTACAAGCCTCTCAAGTCCCACCGTTGGGAGCCAGAGATGATGCCGGTGGCATGGGGTGTAGTCGTTCCGTGGGTCTTTGGCTGGCTGCACAAAGGCATTTCAGAGTGAGATACAAAGAGAGGTTTCAAGTACAGTTTATGTGAGAGAAAAGAAAAAGACACAACACATTCAAGAGAGAACGTGGGCAGTCGTAAGGGAAAGGGCACACCCCCTTTGTTTGTTTTTATGATTCAGAGTCTCATTTTGTTTCCCAGGCTGGAGTGTAGTGGCATGCTCATGGCCACCAGTGCCTCGACCTGCTGGACTCAGGTGATCCTTCAGTTCCAGCTTTCAAGTAGCTATAACCACAGCCACGACACCTGGCTAATTTATTTATTGCAGAGATGAGGTCCTGCCATGTTGTCCAGGCTGGTCTCAAACCCCTGGGCTCAGGCAATCCTCTCGCCCCTTCCTCCCAAAGTGCTTAGATTACTGGCGTGAACCACCACACTTGACCTCCTTCTGTTAAAACAGTGCTTTACCTATTTCCAAAATGATGGTTAGACCAGGTGTACGCTTGTCTCAGTGACAGTTTTGGTAAGTCCACAAGCTGACCCTAGCTTAAATGAGTTAAAAAGAAACATCACTGGAGAGCGTCTTTGAAAAGGGTGAAAGACCCAATGAGACAGCAGAAGACTCTAAGACCGCCAACAAAAAGAAAGCTACATTTAAAATATCAAGAGTTCCACTTAAATTACATGCTCATTGCAACAAGTGATTCACATTCTCCAAGCCCACTTTGTATAATATGTGGTGACTGGCTAATCAATGACGCCAAGGAAACCTTCAAAACCGCTTCGCCACATGGAGATCAAGCATCCTGCATTAAAAGACAAGCCTTTGGAGTTTTTAAAAAGAAAAAAACATGAACATGAAGAACGGAAGCAATCATTGAAGGCCATCACTTCATCAAATGTGTCTGCACTGAAAGGCTTAGGAGCTAACTGCATTGCTAAAGCTAAGAAGCCCTTTACTACTAGTAAGAGTTGATCCTGACTGCTGCTAAGGACATTCTGTCATGAACTTTTAGGATGAGCTGCAGTTCAGAAGGTAGCATGTGTTCCTCTTTTGAGAGAATATTGAGGCACAACTGTTAGAGAGGGTTAACAAGTCACTGTGGTACCCCATCCAGGCTGGCAACTCTGACAAGTCTATGGATATTGACTACAAGGCAAAGGTGCTTGTTATTATGCAATCTATTTTTCAGATGGATGTGTATGAGGATGTTATATGCACTTTTGTTGCCAACCAATACCAAGTCTTTGAATGATTACACATCAGAAAAACTGGTCTGTTTTTGTCAGTATATGCACAGATGGAGCGGCTGCCATGACTGGATGAATTCTTGGTGTCACTCCTTGGGTCAAAGAGAAGAGTGTGAGTCTACACACTGTGTCATTCATAGATGCCAGTTAGCCAAGAAATGCTACCTGAACTTAACATTTTGCAGGTTGTGATTAAAATTAATCATCCACATTAAAGTACATGCCCTTAACTTGCAACTGTTCGTTCAGCTCTGAGATGGACACAAAGCACAGATGTCTTCATTTATAGGCAAAAGTGAGATGGCTTTCTAAAGGCAGATCATTGGCCAGAGTTTTTTTAGTTATGAGAGCCACTCCAGAGACTTCTTTTAGAAAGTCACCACTGGCAGCACATTTCAGTGACAAGAATGGGTTGCAAAACTTCTGTACTTGTGTGACATATTCAAGCTGATCAATTAACTCAGTTTGTCACTTCAGTGGAGAAAGACAACTGTGTGCAAGTCAGCAGATAAAGTGGCTACATTCAAATCCAAAATGGAATTATGGGGGCAATGAGTGAACGCTGGAATTTTTGGCATGTTTCAAATATTGGCAGAGATTATGAAAGAGATGAAGCCAGGACCTTATTTTTCCCAGCAGGTGCATGTCACCCATCTCAGCTTTCAAGAGTTGAGCATTACTTCTCAACCACCAAACTGAAGGAATGGATCCACGACCAATTTGTGAATAAGGCAAGTGAACTGAATCTGTTGACTCTGTCCATGCTAGAAGAGGATCAACTGCTTGACATCACAAGTAGTGGCTGCCTTAAAAGTATGTGTGAGACAACTTCAAATCTCCATACATTCTGAATAAAATCAAGGTGGGATATCCTGAGATTGTCACAAAAGCATTGAAAAGCCTGCTTCCGTTTCTAACACCCTATCTTTATGAGGCAGAATTTTGTGCAGTGATAGCAACCAAAATGAGATTATGTAGTAGACTGAACATAAGCAACACACTTCGGGTGTCACTGTCTCCCATTACTCCCGTCTAGTTGCAGGAAAACAAGTTCAGAGCTCCCACTGATTCTGCATTATGGTACATCATATAATTATTTAATTATATATTACAATGTAATAATAATAGAAATAAAGTGCACAATAAATGTGATGCACTTGAATCATCCCCCCCTTCCCTCTGGTCCATGAAAAAATTGTCTTCCACAAAACCAGTCCCTGATGCCAAAAAGGTTGAGGACCACTGATTAGAGCACCAGATTCCAGTAACTTCCTACTATCCTGTTCTCCTTCCTTGTAGCCAACTGCCCCATATTTCAAGGTGAGGTCTGAATTTCAGTCAGTGTGTAGTTAAGAGTTATGTCCTAGCTGGGTGTAGTGGCTCATGCCTGTAAGCTCAGCACTTTGAGAGGTGAAGGTGAGAGGAATGCCTGAGTCCAGGGGTTCAAGACCAGCCTGAGCAATTTGGCAAGATCCCCATCTCTACAATAAATTAAAAATAAAAAATTAGCTGGGCATGGTGGCAGATGTCTGTAGTCCTAACCACTTGGAAGACTGAGGTGGAAGGATCACCTGAGCCCAGCAGGTCAAGGCTATGGTGGTCGTAAGCATGCCATTGTACTGTAGCCTGGGCAACAGAGTGACTGCAACTCAAAATAAAAAAAAGAGTTATGTCCTGATAAAACAGTATGCAGCTGCAGATGCCTAACCATCTGGTTTCCTAATTATCTAAACCTGCCTGTGAGAAACTGTATCTGAGCTATGATAGTTCCTGAGCTGTCTTGCCTCACTCTCAGTGTGCCCTCTGGTGTTTAAGATCTAAGTTCTGGCTAAAGTTCTGTCCACACTTCCTGCACAAATGATGCTCCTACCTGAGTGTCCTCCTGTGAATGAGGAGTGATTTCTGGCTAAAGCCCTGGCCACACTCACCGAACACATAAGGCTTCTCTTGAGTGTGTCCTCTCATGTTAGGACAAGGGTCGATTTGTCATGAAAGCCTCGTCTGTAATCCCTGCAAATAAAAGCCTTCTCATCTCAGTGTGTCCTCTCATGTTTGATATGACTTTTGAGATATGACTTTTGGCTAAAGCCTCGCCCACACTCCCTGCAGACATAAGGCTTCTCCCCTGAATGTGTCCTCTGGTGAACAAGTAGGAGTGATTTCCAGCTAAAGCCTCGCCCACACTCCCTGCAGACATGAGGATTCTCCCCTGAGTATGATCTCTGATGAACAAGGAGTTGTGATTTCCGGATAAAGCCTTGGCCACACTCACTGCACACATAAGGCTTCTCTCCTGAATGTGTCCTCTCATGTATGACAAGGGTTGACTTGTCACAAAAGCCTCGCCCACACTCCCTGCAAATAAAAGGCTTCTCATCTAGGTGTGTTCTCTGGTGTTTGATGAGATATGACTTTTGGCTAAAGCCTCGTCCACACTCCTTGCAGACATAAGGCTTCTCCCCTGAGTGTGTCCTCTGGTGTCTGATTAGGGATGACTTCTTGCTAAAACCTCGCCCACACTCCCTGCAAATATAAGGCTTCTCTCCTGAGTGTGTCCTCTGGTGTGTGATGACACATGACTTTTGGCTAAAGCTTCGTCCACATTCCCTACAGACATAAGGCTTCTCCCCTGAGTGTTTCCTCTGGTGGACAAGAAGGTGTGATTTCCAGCTAAAGCCTCACCTACACTCCTTGCAGACATAAGGGTTCTCCCCTGAGTGTGTCCTCTGGTGAACAAGGAGTTGTGATTTCTGGATAAAGCCTTGGCCATACTCACTGCACACAAAAGGCTTCTCTCCCGAGTGTGTCCTCTCATGTATGACAAGGGTTGACTTGTCACGAAAACCTCGCCCACACTCCCTGCAAATATAAGGCTTCTCATCTGAGTGTGTCCTCTGGTGTTGGGCAACATTTGACTTTTGGCTAAAGCCTCGTCCACACTGCCTACGGACATAAGGCTTCTCCCCTGAGTGTGTCCTCTGGTGTCTGATGAGGGTTGACCTATTTTTAAAGCCTCGCCCACAATCACTGCAAACATATGGCTTCTCCACTGAGTGTGTCCGACGGTGTCTGTTGAGGGTTGACCTATTTTTAAAGCCTCATCCACAATCACTGCAAACACAGGGCTTCTCCCCTAGGAAGGTTCTTGAGTTTCTAATGAAGTTTGATTCTGGGCTATAGTCTGGCTCACGTTCTTTACAGTTGTTTGTTCCAAATCTCGAGGCTTCTAATTCTTTCATTCCTTTGTCTGATTGCACAGGGTTTACCCTTTGGGCTGAGTAGGGCTCTATTTCCACCACCATGTTGCCTTCTCTAGAACTTGCTGACTGTCCTTGGAGTTGGCTGAGGAATGCCCTTGATGTCTCTCTCTCCTCTGTCCTTACATACCAGGGTTTGGAGCCACCTTCTTTCTCTTGGCCTTCTGCATTTTCACTCCAGCAGCTCTGATAAGAACACTGGTGCTCCTGTGGTTTCTGATGCCCTGAACTGGAATTCCCTGGATGGAAATGATCTTCTGTACTTAAGCCCTGGAAGATCTGAAGCGTGTGTTGACTGAGGAATTGCTGACAGGAGGAGGCCAGAAGACAGGATGAACAAGGGTAGGTTTCTGGTTTTGGTTCTGCTGAAGAAAGAGTTTTCAGTTAGAGAAGCCATCAATGGGGCTGCTTGGCGGTTCTGCCTTGTCTTAGGACAGAGAGCATCCTACTGCCACACCTGTCATTGACAACACAATTTTCTTCTGACCTATAATTTCTTTACATTCCATTTTGACATATAACATTTTCTATTGCAATCCAGAAAACACCAAAACATCTTCTATATGTCAGACCAGGAACCTTACAGAGCATTCTGCTCTGTAAACAGCTTCAGTCATCATTAACCTTTTCATTCTTCTAAAATCATCTAAGCCACAGACACTTACATTGATACATAATGTCCAGAACTCTTTGTTCTGCTCGGAGATAATGGCTCTATGACACATGCGGAAATCTCCTTCATGACTTTTCTTAGTATAAAAAAGGACCTGATAGACATAGAAAGTCCCTCAGCCTGAGGGCTTCCAAATGTAGGAGAAAATATGTGAAATATTGGTTAAAGAGACTGTCGTATATGAAATAAATCTGAATTTCAGGATGCACATCTGTAAACACTTATTAGATAATTTCTAAGTACTAGGTTCTCTATTAAGTATTGTGGATTCAACAGCAAACAAGAAAGACATGGCCCGTGATTTTAGGATTCTGCCACCAAACCAATCCAAAACTTGCTTCTTTTAGTTTTTCAAAAATTAATATAAATTTTTTTTGTTTACAGAAGTACCTGCCTGTAAAATATCAAAACTAGATGTTATATTTCATCATAACTGGATATAGACAGTTGATGCTGATAAATGAACATGTACTTGGCACCCAAACTCTGTTAGACCTAATTGAAGGCTTAGGCAGAAAAATCATCTGAACCCAGGAGTCTGAGGCTGTGGTGAGCCATGATTGTGCCACTGCACTCCAGCCTGGGTGACAGAGTGAGACCCTATTTCAAAAAATAAAAAATAAACATAAAAATACATTTAAAAATTTTTTTTAAAGACTTGTGGTAATCCTAGAGTTTTGTGACCTGAACTTTCAATCTTGAGTTTTTTAATGTGACTTGCTGCTGTCTCTAGATTTAAATAAATCATTTAAAAGTAGTTATATGTGTTTAGACAAAAGAAGAAAAACAATAGAGTCTAAGAAAGCCCAAAGCCACAAAAACTAACTTCTGTTGCAGAAGGCATCTTTCACTACTCTCCTCCTTGCATAACGTGCCCCAGTCTCACTCACCTCCCAGCAGTTCCTTATACGGTGCAAACATACCCTTCCTTAAGGTCTTCATATCAATGATTCCCTCCACCTGAAATGCTCCTACTCTAGATAACTAGAGTTCTAACTTCCTCACCACATTATGTCTTTGATCAACTGTTTCTTACTCAATGATTTCAATGCTCAATTATAAAATTCAGTCAGCTACTCTGTCACACCTAATACCCCTTGATCCTGCTTTATTATTTTTCACTATACAGCAGTTATCACCCTGTAACATACCATATTATAATATCCCTATATATGGAGCTTTTTATTTGGTATCTGTTTCCTTATGCTAGAAAGCAAGCCCAACAGATTACTGTTTCATTTACTAATGTGTTCTGAGTGTCTAGAACATTTTCTAATACAGAGTATGTGATCAAGGACTCTCCACTGAATTAATGAAGGAAAGAACACAGCCTCACCCAATGAAAACAGATTCCTGTAATTCTCCAGCATCACTTCTTTGTACAGATTCTTCTGCTCTGGGCTCAGTCTCTTCCATTCTGTTTCCGGGAAGATCACAGCTACATCCCTGAATGTAACTGGTACCTAAAAATAAGAAGTCAATTAGTGTACAGTGAGTCACCATCAATTTTCCTGTATGAGGAGCATAGCTGGTGGTCCTGGAGAGTCTGGATACCCAAGAAGTTAACATAATTCTTTTCAGAGTATACTGTTCTCCACATGAAGTTCTTCTGGGCATCACTAAGTGCCTAGTTTTGTGTCAAAGCCTGTGAGGAGAATAAAGGATGCACAAAACCCATTCCAGGTCCTTAAACACTGCAGAAATGATTTGTAACATTGCAGACTCAATTTGAAAACCTCAAGTGGTTTTCATGACAGTGACCTTAAGGATTTGTAATGAAGAAATTCAGTGATGGAACAGTCAAGGACAGGCTGGGGAAAAGAAGTATCAAGGGCCGGGTGTGGTGACTCAAGCCTGTAATTCCACCACTTTGGGAGGTGGAGGCAAAAGAATTTCCTGAGCCCAAAGTTTTGTGACCAGACTGGGCAACTTCGTGAAACATCTTCTCTCTGATAAATCCTAAAATTAGCTGGCTGTGGTGGTGTGTTCCTATAGTTCTAGCTACTTGGATAGCTGGGGAGAAAGGATCACCTGACCCAGCAGGTCAAGGCTGCAGTGGTCGTGAATGTGCCACTTCACTCCAGTCTGGGTGACAGAGTGAGAATCTGTCTAAAACAAACAAACAAACAAACAAACAAAAACATCATGGACTTGGGACTTGCGTTGCACAGTAGGGAGTTGGGGACTATTTAGAGGAAACAATAGAAGAAAGCTTTAACTACAGAGAAAAATGGGAGAGAACAGATGGTGTCCTACATCTTTTTTCTTGCATTTGTAAAAAAATTTTTATTTTTGAGTTGTGGAGTACATGTGAGGATTTGCAAGTAAATTGTGTGCGGGTGAGGTTTGGGCTTCTAGCGACTCCTCTCTCCCCCTGGTAAAACTGAGCTACCTATATGATCCAGCAATGCCACTTCTGGGAATATACCCAGAGGAACATAAATTGCTTTACCAAAAAGACACCTGCACATGTATGTTCACTGCAGCACTATTCACAATAGCAAAAACATAAAAATTAATCCAGATACCCACTAAAAGTGGACTGGAGGCCGGGCTCGGTGGCTTAGCCTGTAATCGCAGCACTTTGGAAGGCCGAGGTGAGTGGACTGCCTGAGCCTGCAGGTTCGAGACCAGCCTTGGCAACTTGGCGAGATCTTGTCTCTACAATAAATCAAAAAATTAGCTGGGCATGGTGGTGCACGCCTGTGGTTCCAGTTACCTGAAAGGCTGAGGTGGAAGGAATGCCAGAGTCCAGCAGATCGAGGCTGCGGTGGCCAACTCAAAAAAAAAAAAAAGTGGACTGGACATACTGGCACAGATGCAGAGAAAGGGAACACATACACTGTTGGTGGGAGATTAAATTAGTACAACCTATATGGAAAGTGGTATGGAGATTCCTGAAAGAATTAAAAGTAGATCTACCATTTGATATAGTAATCCCACTAGTAAGTATCTACCTAAAGGAACAAAGGTCATTGTGTGTATGTGTGTGTATTTTTTTTTGAGTCGGAGTTTCACTCTGTCGCCCAGGCTGTAGTACAGTGGCACACTCATAGCTACCACAGTCTCGACCTGCTGGGCTCAGGCAATCCTTCCACCTCAGCCATCCAAGTAGCTGGAATGACAGGCATGTACCACCATGCCTGGCCAATTTTTTCTTGATTTATTATAGAGACATGGTCTTGCCATGTTGCCCAGGCTGATCTTGAACCCATGGGCTCAGGCATTTCTCTCACCTTGGCATCCCAAAGTGTGGCTGGCCAGGTCATTGTATAAAAAGACATTCACGCTTTTAGCAGCGGCAGCGCTCAGGAGGTCCACCGGGCCGAGGTCCATGCTCTTTGCCCCCTCATCCTCCTTTTACCCAATGAAGCGTTGTGGCCTAAATAATAATAATAATAAGACACTTGCACCCCCATGTTCATTGCAGCACAATTCACAATTGAAAGATGTGGAATCAGCCAGGCTCAGTGGCTCAGCCTGCAATCCCGCGCCTTTGGGAGGCTGAGGTGAGTGAATTGCCTGGGCCCGCGGGTTCAAGACCCGCCTGGGCAACTTGGCGAGACCTCATCTTTACAATAAATCAGCATGAGCCGGTGTGGTAGCGTGCACCTGTAGCTCCAGCTACTTGGAAGGCTGAGGTGGAAGGATCCCTGGAGCCTAGCAGGTCGAGGCTGTGGTGGCCGGGAGCGGCCACTGCACTCCAGTCTGGGTGACAGAGTGAGACTCCAACTCAAAAAAAAAAAACCAAAAGATGTGGAATCAACCTAAATGCCCATCAACCAATCAGTATATAATGAAAATCCATACACCATGGATTACTATGCAGTCATAAAAAAGAATGAAATAATATCCTTTGCAGCAACATGGATGGAGTTTGAGACCCGTAATTCAGACACAGAAAACCAAACACTGCATGTTTGCACTCATTTGTGGAAGTTAAACAGTCATAAAGATGGAATAATACACACTAGGGACACCAACAAGGGGTAGATGGAAAGGAAGTAAGGGTTTAGAAACTATCTACGGGGCACAATGCTTGCTATCTGGGGAATGAGCCAGCTGAAACCCAAGCGCAATCAATACACAATAGGTCCACATAACAAGCATGCATGCATATCTCTAAATCTAAAATAAGAAAAAGAAAGTGGACTAGATAAAGAAGGTGTGGTGCATATAGAAGATAGAATACTACACAGCCATAAAGAAGACCAAGATCATATCCTTTGCAGCAACATGGGACACAGCTGAAGGCCATCATACTAAATGAACCATCACAGAAACAAAAAAACAATATCGCATATTCTCCCTCATAAGCAGGCCCTCAACAATGGCATGAGCACTTTTGAAAAGTTCAGGTTACTAAATGAGAAATGTTAAATCCCTGTGCTTTGCCTATATAACAACCTTTTTTCAATAACTACCTAATGTACCTAATCCCTCAAGCACCTAAATGTTGACCACCTTTTCCCTCCCCAACAGAGAGAATAAATGAGTCATCAGGACAGAAATGTAAAAATGTAACCCTACTCATCAGTATTTGGGGCTTTCCTTCCTTTTCTTGGGACCAGTCAGTATAGTGAGAAGGCAAACCTAAGGGAAGATAAAGAGGCTATGAGAAAGCAGACTCTCATTATGCTCATGCAGCAGCTCTTCTGACTCTAAGGAAGGAGGAAGTAGTCACTTTACTCAGTTGCGACCTCTGAAGCATTCTCAGGTGAACCAGGAGTATGGGCCCCTCCTTTATCTTTCCTGGCCCTCAACAATTCTCACTTTTTGCCTTATGATTTTGAGCCCATTTCTTCATGATCTCCACATCTTCCCCGTTCTTTGAAGGCAAAATCTTCACCTGGTCTTGCTCTCCCAGTGCAGAAGGATCAGACATCATGGACCCAGAGGCAGCCCAGCCTTGAAATTCTGCCAGAGGGTCAGGTAGATGTTATTACATCTCAAGATAGATTTCTGCTGCCTGGGGTGACTTCTTCCAACCTAATTGTAAAAGCCCATCTTGTTTCCATGCAGCCAGGACCTGTGGGATGGAGAGGCAATTTGACATTGCTGGGGCCTTTACTGGAGAACCTCGTCTATACTCTTCAACAGGGATCCCATCCTCTCATACCCTCATCAGTCAATAAGCACAGAGTCTCTGACTACAGGGTTTCCCTGGATTTTCTACCTTCACTCATTCTGCCTTCATTTCTAGACCCTCAAGTCTGTCTTATGCCACTCTCCCTTAGCTTTCAAAATTTACAACTTCTTCCACCTCTGTACCTTAGATTCAAACTCTATGTCTTGGATCAGTCTTTGCTACCAAGAGCCTGTGTAGGAGAGAAGACAGAATATGATGCCAGTGAAGAGTCTCTGAATGTCTCCTTACAGACCAATCAGAGCATGCAGAACTCAGCTTCTGACACCCCTAACCCAAGGTTCCATCTGTGTTCAATTCCCTATGTCACCGTACTCTGAGAAGATTTGAGGATCTAAACTGAGTCCTTCTTACTTAAGGACCAGCTCCATATCTCACAATGATTCTGAAATGATAACATCCCACCTGCCATCTCTATATATGTATACTACATGACCTTATCAGACATGTGCATTTGTGTCTCCTGATGGGCCCAAGTCAAAGTCCTCCACTCATGTAGTCCTAAAAATGGCAGGTGGTATGAGCTAGGCCATCTTCAGAAACTCTTCAGACATTGTCCAGGATCTCAGTTTAAATGAGGCCTACTGTTGCCTAGTACCCTTGTAGAATTAGCTGGGTTCTGCTGAGAAACTCTTTCTCTAACACCATAGGCAGAGATGATCACTTTAAGAGCATTTCACCTTAATCACACCATATAGCAAAATATCTGTTTACCTATCTGTCTTTACTAAAATGTGAGCTTCTTGTAAGAAGAAATGCATGTTCGTCTTTTTGCTAATCTAATCCTAGTGATTAGGATAAAATATTCCTTTGTGGTAGATGTTATCATATTTGTTCCCAATAATTTGTTTCTCTACAAGAGGATTGTTCTTCCCTGGCACTGCCATCAGGCTTGACCTTGTGATTTGCCTTGGAAAATGAATGTGAGTGAAAGTGACAGTGCTATTTCTTTCTTACTTTATTTATTCAGAGTCTCACTCTGTTACCCAGGCTAGAGTGCCATGGCATGCTCACAGCTACTGCAGCCTTGACCTGCTGGGCTCAGATGATCTTTTCACCTCAGCCTTCCAAGTAGCTGGAACTACAGGTGCATGCCACCAAGCTCTGATAATTTTTTTTTATTTATTGTAGAGATGAGGTCTCACCAAGTTGCCCAGGCTGGTCTCCAACCCCGGGGCTTAGGCAATCCTCTCATCTCCACTTATCAAAGTGCTGGAATTACAGACATGAGCCACTGTGCTCAGCTGACAATACCATTTCTTTCTTTACTTTTTTTGAGTCAGAGTCTCACTCTGTTGCCCAGGCTAGAGGGCAGTG